AAGTGTTCCCTTTTCTCCTCAACCATACCAGCATCTGTTTTTCTTTGTTTGTTTTTTGAGACAGAATTTCACTCTTGATGCCCAGGCTGGAATGCAGTGGTGTGATCTTGACTCACTGCAACCTCTGCCTCCCAGGTTCAAGACATTCTTCTGCCTCAGCCTCCCAAGTAACTGGGATTATAGACACCTGCCATCACACACTCTGCTAATTTTTGTATTTTTAGTAGAGATGGGGTTTCACCATGTTGGCCAGGCTGATCTCAAAACTCCTCAAGTGATCCACCCAATTCAGCCTCCCAAAGTACTGGGATTAGAGGTGTGCCCCACTGCACCAGGCCTACTTTGTGACTTTGTTGTAATAGCCCTGCAGCCATAAAAAAGAACAAGAACATGTTCTTTGTGGGATATGGATGGAGCAAGAGGCTATCATCCTTATAAAACTTAACACAGGAACAGAAAACCAAATACCACATGTTCTCACTTATAAGTGGGAGCTAAATGATGAGAACAAATAAACATAGAGAAGAACAATATACACTGGAGCGTACATGAGGGTAGAGGGTGGATGGAAGGAGAGGATTAGAAAAAATAGCTATTGGGAACTAGGCTTAGTACCTGAGGGATGAAACAATCTGTACAACAAACTCCCATGATGCAAGGATACCTATATAACAAATCTGGACATACACCCTTGAACTTAAAAAAAAGTTTTCAAAAAAAGAAAAATAAAAGGAAAAAACTACAAAACTCATCAAAGAGAGAATGCCTTATCATGGACAACAGAAACAAATGGTAGTTGATTGATGAGTAACAAACATCCTTTTATCACCTCTTGCAGACCTCAAATATAGCATTTGGCCCACTGTACTTTGACATCTGTTCAATTGCTTGATTATCTATCCCTGCCCCTGCTAGATTATATGCCACCTGAGGGCAAGGATTTTTTTAAATCATCTGTATATCCCCAGTGCTTAGCATAGTACCCAAATATAGTTGTTTTTTTTTTAGTAAATGTCAAATAACTCAATTTAAAATGACAAACTACCTTTCCAATGTCCTAAATTTTAAGCCACCATTAAAAAAAAACAGGGCTTGCTATATTTATTAACTATTCTGACATGCTACTGTTCCTCCTATAAATGATCTATTTATACCACCTCTCCTCAGGGAGTAAAAAGGAAAGTATAGGCAGGGCTTCCTGACACCAGAGCTGGACAGGAATCCTAAGGCTGGGATGACCATATAATTGAGCTTCCAAACCAAGTCATTTTTTAGAATAAAAGAGGCACTATTAATAAGTAAACCAGAAAAATGAGACTGAAAAGTACTGTTACACACAAAAGCAGACATGCAGCTGTCACCCTACCTAAAGCCAAAATTGAGGCATTCATGAATGTAGAGAAGGAAAAATATCCTGGAGGCTAAATTTGAAGCCCTTATTTGAGACTCTGACAGCAGTCTATATAGTGTTTGTTTATAACAAATCAACTTCGATATTTACCCACATTTCTCCTGCTCATCTACAAACAAACTCTCCTTTTTTCCAGGCACCTTACTCGTGCAGGTAATGAATGAATGACTTTTGACTCACCTTCCCTTTTATCTGAGGTTACCAGCACCATCACTATTTTTGTTCCTTCCTGCTTAGCATCTCTCACATTCTACTCCACACCACTCTCACCAGCCAGTAAAAGACTCTGGATCATGGCTCAGCTGACCTTGTCTCCATGTCCCTCCAGACTGGACATCATCAATGTGCTACTTTGGCATGTCTTTGCCCTGTTTATGAGCCTAAAATGGTTCTCTATTTTAATCTCTACATCCACCCTGAATTATTTTGACTTCCAAGGTGCTGCATAAGTTGGCTTCAGCACACCTGAAGCACCACTCACTTCTCCTGCCATGACACACTGTGCTCTGCAGTAATGGTTTCCTCACTACCCCTGCAAGCAGCTTCTTCTCCTCCCCAGTCCTTTTACATTTGCTCATGATCTTCCTCTTTCCTCTGTCTTGCCTAAGTTTCCTCTGATCTCTAAACTTGTTCAATATCACAATAATCTACTTTATAATATTCCATTTCTATAAATGTTACACAACTAGTTATAATCATGCAGCTTAAAGCTATTAATAAATGGATCTGATTTATCAGCATTCCTTTTAACACCTTAGCTCTCTAACTAGAATATGCTCCTTAATGACACTGAATTCTATAGCCTTCGTTTTTCCAAATGTTACAGCAGCTACCTCAGCATAGATCCTACTTATACCCCTAAGTGCTAAGCATACAAAAAGCATATAAAACAGGGTCTCCTAGCCCTCCAGAATTTCAATCTAGAAAAGGGGAAGGGATGCAGAATGGCCTGTAAATAGATAACTTAGGATGTGTTAAGATAGAGGCAAATCAAAATCTATAAAATGGGCTATCACAACAGTGAAAACGGGTAAACTAGCCAAGTGTCGGAGTTCAGAAAAAGCTTTGCAAGCATAGAATCTGAGGAAAAACAAAAGGAGTCACCAGAAGAAAATCATTCCAGCTAAAGGCATGGACCACAAAATACACAGGTGTGGTCAGCAAAGGATAGCCAAAGCCATAGAGAAAATGCAGGGAGTGGCTGGAAATGAAGCTCTAAAGATGGGCAGCATCAGATCAGGAAACGCATTGCATGCCAAATACAAGATGCTCAAATATGTGTTGAAAGGAGCAGAAGCCACTGAAGGATCTTAAGCAGGAAAATCATGAGATCAGATTTTCTTTTAGAAAACTGATTTTGGCAGCAGTATGAAAAGTGGAAGAAAGAAAAACTTACAATAGAGAGATTCGTTGGGGAGGTTGTGAAAGCAGAATTGGCAAGAATTAATGAAGTCTGCAGAAATAACCACAAAAGGGCAGATTTGAGGGATGGTAAGGACTGAGTCAATGCACTTGGTTCCAGATCTGTTGTGGGGGTAGAATCCAAGAAGAGTCAAAACTACTTAGGAAAAAAAAAAAAAAAAAAAAAAAAAAAAAAAAAAAAGGCTGTTTCCAGCTTGGGCATTGGAGTGGAAAGTTATGCAGTTTACTGAGATAGGGAAGCCAGGAGAAGTGGGCTTGAGAGTAGAAATAAGGAGTTAAGCATGGACACGCTGCGTTTGGGGGGACAAGGGAAGTAGCCTGATAGGCAGTTGGATGATAGTTTAGGTTTCCAGAAAATTCATTACATGAAGATAGAAATTTACAAGTCATCATTGAAAAATATTCAAAGGAGAAAAAATAAGACTGCAGAAGACATGCGACATGAAAAGGTGACCCTGAATGGAACACTGGGACCACTGATGTGATTCAGAAGGAGGGTTAAGCTTTTAGACAGGGAAGTAAAAGTAGTGACTAGTTTGTTAGTGCAGTCAGGCACTGCTAAATCAGCATAGTCCTGAAAAGGAGTAATGTGTTTGTATATGAGCAAGCAGAAACTATGAGGAGTTAAGTTTTCAATTATTTAGTTTTATTTTTGCTTGTTTTAATCCTGAGTTTAATCAGAATTAAAGTTTAATCCAAAGTGTTTCATAATTTTCTTTCCCATTAGATTGCTAATAAGTGCATTCTGCTGGCCAGCTCTTACTTTTAACTTACCAAGAGAGCTCCCCAAGGGAAAAAATGTATTTTTATTCTTGTCTTCTCTCTTGTTCTCTCTGGACAAGCACCAGTGCTTATCAACTGCCTGCTACTTGCTTAGCAGATATTTTCTCCATATTTTATGAATGAATGGACAACTAAAGAAATGACATTTTCTTATATTTCACTAAAAAGGAATTTTTCATCCAGGAAAGAGCCTGCCTTCTGTGCTACAGAGACTGGAATGGTTCTTGTTTCCAGCTTTCTCTCAACAGAAATTTTATTTCCTTCCTACAGGGAGTTCTCCTTTCTCTTTGATATGTTATACTTTCTGATAGTAGGTCTTGATCAATTTTTAGCATCTTCAGGTTTTTTAACCAATAAATTTATGCAGATGAAGAGTTTGATTATGAGATTATGGATGTGTGAGAAAGACACCTAGATTGTAAATCTTTGGGTGTCCCCTCAGGGTTTCATCTGTGGCTAACCAGTTTCTGTAATTCCAGTTAAAGCTGAAAAAAGCCATGAAACATGTCTCCTCGCCAAACACAAAGGGATGTTGAATCATCTGTTATTTAGACAATCCATGTGCCTTATTTATTATCATAAAAGTTGACTTCTGACATAATCACCCAATCAATCAGAGTTCAATGCTAACTCCCTCGAGGAATTTACAATCTTGAGCTTCAAGTCAGTGACAAGAAATTTTTTAAAAAGAAAGAAATGGACAGTCTAATTTAACACGAAAAATTTACGGTTCAAAATACCCAAGGTGTCAGATTGATTGCATGAATAAAAAAGATTATAGAAGAGAAAAATCAGTGGACTTGGAGTGATCAGCAAAGGTTTCAATAAGTAGGTAGAATTTAATCTGGGACTTAAATGTGAAAATTGACCAGCTTGGAAGGAAAAAGGGAGGTGGTACCACAAAAGGATTTGAGGTCAAGCAGAGCAGCAGAAATAGATAATGCTAACAGTATATGGTGTCCATTGCAGGAACTAGAGTCAAACCTTATCCTACGTGCCTTTATGGATATCTTCAGAATTGCTAAGTACTAATTAAATACATGCATGGGTTTTTCATTCCAGCTGTTTGCCAGTCTCCCTGCTTAAATGGTGGAAAATGTGTAAGACCAAACCGATGTCACTGTCTTTCTTCCTGGACGGGACATAACTGTTCCAGGTAAGATAACCAAAAACTAATGTTCACCTATAACATGAGGACTCTAAACTTTCAAGATAAATTGTAAGAGCCAGAAGGTATCTCTATCTAGTTTGAGTGCTGAGCACGTTGCATGCAAAGACATCCATTTTGAGACATGCTCTCTAAATTTGAACTAAAGCCGAAGCTAAGAAATATTAGTTCAGGATTGACAAATAAAAAAAGAATATCTCAAAAATAAGCAGTCTTGTGCTCACTTGAGCAGCACATATACTAAAACAAACTTTACAGAGAGGATTAGTATGAGCCATGCTAGAGGATGATATACAAATTTGTGATGCATTCCATATTTTTTTGCAATTAAAAAGGAAAAAAATTGGGTACATAATAAATCATCTCCTTGAACAGAAGATCGCATCCCACAGCTGCAAGGATATAAAATAAACTCAATGTGTTTTATTGAAAATGGCCCAATGGATGTTTAAGTTCTTGATCACAATAAAAATAGTATTGAATTGATAGGACATGTTTATTTTTAAAGTAAAATATTTTTATGTTATATTTTAGTGTTTATATGCATAGGATTTCATTGACTACAAAAAGATTATGTAACAATATGTTTTTTCATTGGTTTTTCATTTCTGACCAGATAAATATCATAGTTTAAAAAGACTATTACAAAAAGAAGTCAAAGGGAAAATAGTTAAAAGATCATTTATACCTTTTTATAAACATCAGGAAAATATCAGCCATATTGTGCCATACTATAGATAAAATATTTTCAATATTCAAACATTGTCCTCACCAGTGTTGCAATGTTGAAATATTATCAGCTATATTTTAAGACTTTCCATATACATCACTGCACTTAGATTTGTATTATGTACACTCACCCCCATCGGATAGGAATCATTAAAAACAAATGGGTATTTTCATATTCATTTTTTAAAGTGGAAAAAATTCAGTTAACCGAAAATAACTTTTATTTTTCATTTTCTGATTTGTCATGTTGATTGGAATGCCAAAGTCAACTGGAAAATATAAAAAAGCAATTAAAGTAAAACCTTATTTAACAAAAAAGTTTATCTAATGCCAATGAATTTCCTCACATCATCTCAAGTGTATACCATCTCTGCAAAAAGAGAAAAAATAAAACCCTAAACTGCAAATTCGAAATGGACAAATATATTTAGAAGCTGCCAAAGATTATACCTTTACCTGGGAGCAGAGTTGAATTTAAGAAAATTAGAGCCAAAAAGGAATAAAAGAAAAAAAAAGGTGACTCAGAAAAAAACAAAGTAGTACTTTCTTATAATATTACATTTAATATTTCAACCTCTTCATTTCACAGATAAAGAAAAGGAAGCCCAGAGAGAGTTTGCATAATTTTAAAAATGTGTTCATAGGAGTTCTTTCTTGATCAAGAAAATGATAATTATTAGCTTGTATGACAATATTGTATATTAATAAGGGAAAAAATCTAGATTTTTTTAGGCAAAAGTTTGATATAGGCATCCAAGACAAATAATGACAAATTAAGCTGAGCGGTGGAACCCACATTCAAGGGAAGGCTAACTAGCAACCCAGAGGACCAGGTAGTCTTCTCCTCCTTATACTGTAATTCTTGTTAAAACTCTAACTAGTTTAAGTAGAAAGGAATTTATTATCACAATAGAGGGGCCTTGTATGAAACCCAAAGACAGAGGAGTAGCTGAGCATCAGGAGAATCAATCTAGGGACTTGAAAGCCACCTGTGCCTCCCTACCTCCCATGTCACTGCCTCTTCCAGGGTCTGCTCCATCCTTTATCTTGCTGCAGAGTGGTTTTCTTCTGTTCAGTTCACATGGAAGGGAAGGACAGAATTTCTCTCTCTTTTTTTTTTTTTTAAGATGGAGTCTCACTCAAGTGCCCAGCCTGGAGTGTAGTGGCACAATCTTGGCTCACTGAAACCTCTGCTTCCCAGGTTCAAACGATTCTCCTGTCTCAGCCTCCTAAGTAACTGGGACTACAGGGATGTGCCACCACACCTGGCTAATTTTTGTATTTTTAGTAGAAATGGGGTTTCTCCATGTTGGCCAGGCTGGTCTCAAACTCCTGACCTCAGGTGATCCACCCACCTTTGCTCCCCAAAGTGCTGGGATTACAGGCATGAGACACCATGCCTGGCCAGGTCAAAATTTCTTACAGAATTTTTTACATGTCACCATATAATATCTGGAGATATAGTGCACTGTCTCAGTTTAAAAATCCAGGGCCTTGATTGATCTGATGGATTCGATGGCCAAGCATGAATCAATGAACTGTCCTAGGCTGGATGATGTTGTACCAACATAAAGAGTAATTCTGTTGAAAACTGGGTAAAAGGAAGGAGAGTCCGGTAACTCCCAGAAGAAAGGAAAGTGGGAGAGGGAGAATGCTTTTCTGAGAAGTCAAAACAATAAATGTTACCATATAATTTTTCCTTCTTTCCTACGAGACTGAATGCCTTACGGTTTGTATGCTGGGCTGGGCGTGATGGTTCATGCCTGTAATCTGAGCAAGCAGATCACTTGGGCCCAGGAGTTCAAGACCAGCCTGGGAAATATAAGGAAGATCCTGCCTCAATATAAATATAAACATATATATATGAGAATCAGCCAGGCGTGGTGGCACATGCCTGTAGTCTCAGCTACTCAGGAGGCTGAGGTGGGAGGATTGCTTGAACCAAGGAGGCAGAGGTTGCAGTGAGCCAAGATTGTGCCACTGCATGCCAGCCTGGGCAACAGACTAAGATCTTATTTAAAAAAAAAAAAAAATTCCAGCAAGATGGCCAAATAGGAATAACTCCAGTGTATAGCTCCCAGTGACAGTGACACAGAAGATGGATGATCGCATTTCCAACTGAGATACCTGATTCATCTCATAGGAACTGATTAGGCAGTGGGTGCAGCCCAAGGAGGGTGAGCTGAAGGAGGGCGGGGCATCACTTCACCCAGGAAATGCAAGGGGCCAGAAAACTCCCTCTCATAATCAAGGGAAGCCATTAGGGACATTTCCAGGCACTCTGGCACCCTGGCTCAGATACTGTGCTTTTCCCATGGTCTTCACAACACACAGACCGGGAAATTCCCTCCCATGCCTATGACACCAGCATCCTAGTTTTCCAGCATAAAACTAGGCGATCATTTGAAAAGACATGGAGCAAGTTGCAGCAATTTTTTGTACCCCAGTGGCACCTGGAATGCCAGAGAGACAGAACCACTAATTCCTGTGAAAAAGGGGGCTGAAGCCAGAGGGCCAAGTGATCTAGCTAGGCGGGTCCCACCCCTACAAATACCAGCAAGCACTGACTTGAAATGTTCGCAGCCAGCACAGCAGTCTGAGCTCGACCTGGGACTTGCAAGCTCCATGGATGGAGGGGTATGTAGGTATTTTTAACCTCACCTGTGTAAACAAAGTCACCCAGAAGTTGACACAGTGACTGGGCAGAGCTCACTGCAGCTCAGCAAGGCCACTGCAGAAAGATGATGTCACTAGACTCCCACCTTGCTGGGCAGGACATCTCTCAAAAAAGGGAGCAGCAGCCCATCAGGGACTTATAAATAAAGCCCCCACCTTCCTGGGACAGAGTACCTGGGAAAAGGGATGGTTGTGGGTCCAGCTTAAGCAGACTTAAATGTCCCTGTGGAGCAGCACTGAAGTGAGCAACAGATCTCCCAGCACAGCACTCAAACTCTGATAATGAACAGACTGCCTCCTCAAGTGGCTCCCTGACCCCTGTGTATTCAGACTAGGAGATACCTCCCAGCAGGGGCTGACAGACACCTCATACAGGAGAGCTTTGACTGGCATCTGGTGGGCACCCTTCTGGGACGAAGCTACCAGAGGAAGGAACAGGCAGCAATCTTTGTTTTTCTGCAACCCCTGCTGGTGATTCCCAGGCAAGCAGGGTCTAGAGTGGATCTCCAGCAGACCTGCAGAAGAGGGCCCTGATTGTTAGAATGAGAACTGACAAACAAAAAGAAGTAGTCTCAATATCAACAGGTCATCCACTCAGAGACCCCATCCAAAGGTCACCAACTTCAAAGACCAAAGGTAGATAAATCCACAAAGATTGGAAGAAAACAGTGCAAAAAGGCCAAAATCTCCAAAAACAAGTGCCTCTTCTCCATTGGATCACAACTCCTCACCAGAAAGAGGACAAAACTGGACAGAGAATGAGTTTGATGAACTGACAGAAGCAGGCTTCAGAAGGTGGGTAATAACAAATTTCCCCAAGCTAAAGGAGAATGTTCTAACCCAATGCAAGGAAGCCAAGAACCTTGAAACAAGTTTAAATGAAATGCTAACTAGACTAACCAGCATGAAGAACATAAACGACTTGATGGAGCTGAAAAACACAGCACAAGAACTTCGTGAAGCATATACAAGTTTCCATAGCTGAATCCATCAAGCCAAAGAAAGGATATCAGAGATTGAAGATCAACTCAATAAAATAAAGTGGGAAGGCGAGATTAGAAAAAAAAGGAGTGAAAAGAAATGAATAAAGCCTCCAAGAAATATGGGATTATTGAAAGACCAAGACTATATTTAATCAGTGTACCTGAAAGTGATGGAGAGAATGAAACCAAGTTGGAAAATACTCTTCAGGATAATATCCAGCAGAATTTCCCCAACCTAGCAAGGCAGGCCAACATTCAAATTCTGGAAATATAGAGAACACCACAAAGATACTCTGCAAGAAGTGCAATCCCAAGACACATAATCATCAGATTCACCAGGGTTGAAATGAAGGGAAAAATGCTAAGGGCAGCCAGAGAGAAACATTGGGTTACCCACAAAGGGAAGCCCATCAGACCCACGCAGATCTCTCGGTAGAAACCCTACAAGCCAAAAGAGAGTGGGGACCAATATTCAACATCCGTAAAGAATTTTCAACCCAGAATTTCATATCCTGCCAAACTAAGCTGCATAAGTGAAGGAGAAATAAAGTCATTTATGGACAAGCAACTGCTAAGAGATTTTGTCACCACCAAGTCTGCCTTACAAGAGCTCCTGAAGGAAGCACTAAATATGGAAGGGAACAACTAGTACCAGCCACTGCAAAAACAAACCAAATTGTAAAGACCATCAACACTATGAAGAAACTAACAAGCCAAACAACCAGCTAGCATCAAAATGGCAGAATCAAATTCACACATAACAATATTAACCTTAAATGTAAATGAGCCAAATGCCCCAATCAAAAGACACAGACTGGCAACTTGGATAAAGAATCAATACCCATGGGTGTACTATATTCAGGAGACCGATCTCACATGCACAGACACACACAGACTCAAAATAAAGGGATAGAGGAAGATTTACCAAGCAAA